TCTTTAAATATCAGATATGTCAAACTTCAATCAAAATAATTCCAAAGTAAAAAAAAATAATTCCAAAGTATATCAAATACTTTGAAATATCATATATATCATATATCAAATGATCTATACAGGGACCATCAGATGGTTTTAAATTAATATCAAATATTTATTAATTTATAATTAATAAGTTAATAATTATTAATAAGTTATCAAATATTAGGATGGCTTGGAAGATTAGTGAATATGTTGGCCAACTGTGAAAGAACCCCAAAGCACTGAAAATGATTTCAATAGTATAAAATCTTGTTTAAAAGGTACAAATGGGGGGCACCTGGGTAGCTCAGCTGGTTAAGTGGCTGCCTTGGGCTCAGGTCATGATCCCAGGGTCCTGGGATTGAGCTCCACAGCAGGCTCCCTGCTCAGCAGGGAGTCCGCTTCTCCCTCTCCTGCTCCCCCTGCTTGTGCTCTCCCTCTCTGTCAAATAAATAAATATTTAAAAAAATAAAATTGTTAATAAATACAATAATGATGTCCTGAAGAAATAAAGAAATAAATAAAATGCAAAAAAAAAAAGTATATGACACCGCTTGAGGTAATCCTCCATGAGGCATTCTGAAAACTCTATTGACTCCTGGAGGCATCTATGGAAAAACCAAACAGTCAGGGAAAGGAAAATATCTGGCTCATCGGCTGCCCTCCCCCTTCAAACAGTCAGGGGAAGATTACAGGAATCTTGCTAATTTGGAAGTTGAATTCAAGTTTAAACCTAACGGCCATCCTTGCTGTGGCCTCTGAAGATTTTTTTCAGTATCTATGTCATTGATGCTCCATCCAGACTGAGCACCGGAATCCCCAGAGGGGTCTAAGCATCTGTATTTTAATAAAAGCCACAAAGGAAAATCATTGGTAAAAAGTGTAAAGTGTGTACCTAAATTCAAAAAAGAAAAAAAAAACTCCTCACAATGACTTTAGAGTCACTCCCAATAGGTAATCTGAGGCCAAACCATCTGCTTGTTGGCAAGCTGAGCCTTCTGTTCGGTAAAGAGGACAGGAGGGACACTAGATTCAGGATGTAAATCAACGTCATTTTTTAAATATTGTAGATTATAGATGTGTTAAAGATGGATAATTCAAAGAAAATGAACAAATGACAACCTACATAATACGGATGACTGTCACAATGCAAAAGATGCAAACGGAAGTACAAAAATGAACAAAATTATTCTATGCTGAATTCTAAAGTAAGCCTAGTGGCTACCCTTGAGGTATTAGGCAGTAACTGGAAAGGCAGCAACTGGGGCTTCTGGAAAGTGGTCATGCTCTGTTTCTTGATCTAGGTGCTGTTTAACAGTTGTGTTCAGTTTGTGAAAATTCATCACACCAAATGCACTTTCCTGTACACATTATTGAACAAAAAATACTTTTCAAAAGCCATAATGTCTGTTTTTTTCTAAAAGTCAAAGTAAGGGGCGTCTGGGTGGCTCAGTGGGTTAAGCATCTGCCTTAGGCTCAGGTCATGATCCCAGGCTCCCTGCTTCTGTCCCTCCCCCTGCTTGTCCTCCTCTTGCATGCACTACCCCACCCCCCGCCCCCGAGTAAATAATATCTTTTTAAAAAAGAAGTCCAGGGCGCCTAGGTGGCTCAGTCATTAAGCGTCTGCCTTCGGCTCAGGTCATGATCCCAGGGTCCTGGGTTCGAGTCCCACATCGGGCTCCCTGCTCAGCAGGAAGCCTGCTTCTCCCTCTCCTACTCCCCCTGCTTGTGTTCCCTCTCTCACTGTGGCTCTCTCTGTCAAATAAATAAAATCTTTAAAAAATAAAATAAAATAAAAATAAATTAAAAAGTCTAGGTAGAACTAATTTTCACCATTTTACAATTTCTTTACACTTTTTCTCAATTGTTTGGATTCAAATACAGTAGTTCATACACCCATATACAATGTATCATTAATGACCTGCCTAACCTTAAAATTTAGGTTTTAACATCCTAAGAGTACCCAAAGATAACAAAGATGGATGCTAAGCTAAAGCAGTGAATTTATTAAGCTATATATTGTGCCTAAAGCTTGGAACTTAATATCAAACATAAATTAAAATCTAATATTAACAAGCATAAATGCCTAGGCTCTCAGTAAAGAGTAATTCCTGACCTCCTAAAAAGAGTGATACAAGTTGAAGACATGGGGGGGAAATCTCCCAAAACTTATGGAGAAGGTGACAGGTTTGGTTATTAGTTCTGTGAAGATGTGGACAGAAGTTATACAGGTTAATCCCTAAAACCTAAATCTAAAGCAATGCCAAATCCCAAGCCCACCCACTTCCACTTCAACTCCCTGCCTGCAAAAGGGGAAATAGAAAATTTCTCTATGTGACTGTTGAAATCAGCAAGAAAATAGAATTGGCTAGTGTCTGAACCTTAGCCACGATATGGAAAGTACAGTGGCTCCTGACATAAACACAACACATGGTTTCAATTACCTTGCCACCAAAGAAATTTAAATTGTCTACATGTTTTAAGTACCATTAAGCTTCGGGGCACCTGGGTGGCTCAGAATGGTTAAATGTCTGCCTTCAGCTCAGGTCATGATCTCCAGGGTCCTGGGAATCGAGCCCCGCACTGGGCTCCTGACTCAGCGAGGAGTCCGCTTCTCCCTTTCCCTCTGCCTCTCCCCCCTGCTCATGCTCGCTATCTCGGTCTCTCTCTCAAATGAATAAATAAAATCTTAAAAAAAAAAAAAAGTACCATTAAGCTTCAACAAATTCTTTATCTTATGAAAATCAAGCACAGAAACAGAGCAAGTCAGTATGCCTTAGCTTAACCTTTTCCAGTAACATACTTGAGGCAAAAAGGGGCTTTTTCACCATAATTTCTCACTTGAAGTGACTCAAATCCAAAAGCTAATTTTGGTTTTAGTTGGGGTTTTTGTTTCTTGGTTTTGTTAAGTTTTAGTTTTACACATAGGATGTATCCACACAGAAAACTATCAAAAACTATAAACCAAAACATTCATACAGGAATATAGATGACTTGTTTTCTTCATTTTTTCTGTATTTTCTAAAATGTTACTTTTGTTCCAAAGGAAAAAGATAAAGACTTAAAGAAAAATGTTTATTACCAAGATTCTAAATTGTGAAGCCTAAAACTTTGGCAAGTTGAATACTTCCTAAAATCACATTTCTAGGACACTCTACATCAACAGACCAAGCCCAACTTAACAATTTTTCAACTTTATGATTGTACAAGAGTGATACTTCAAATTTTGATCTTTTCCTGGGCTGGTGATATGCATACAATTTGCTAGGCACAGCCACAGGACCACAAGCATAACCAATGATAGACTTAGAGCCATTCTGTTTTTCACTCTCAATACAGCATTCAAAAAATTACATGAACTATTCAACACTTCATTATAAAATAAACGTTGTGATAGAGGATTCTGCCAACTGCAGACTAACGTAAACGTTCTAAGCACGTTTAAGGTAGGCTAAGCTAAGCTATGATGTTTGGTAGGTTAGGGGTATTAAATGCATTTTCAACTTAAAATATTCAATTTATGATGGGTTTATCAGAACATAACCCTATCATAAATTGAGGCAGATCTGGGGGTTGTTTTCCCAAAGAACAAAAAGGAATTTCACATACTGTCTGCTTCCATCATAACTCAGTAATTAATAAACACACTGAGCCCCTTTCACACCCAGAGGGACCTCTTTTCAAGTGATCATTATTAAAACCTGCAAATGGGAAACCTAAATATTGCAAATATTCTAGACATTTATATCAAAGTAAATTTTAATTCACTAATTACTAAATACTAGGAGGGCACAGTCCATATAAAACTCACCTATATCTAGTAAGTTTTGGTGAAGTAAGACTAAATTGTATTATAAAGATTACATTTTTTGCCCACCTCTGTGAATTGGGAAAACTTTATTAAAAATCAAAACATAACCTGGATATTTCTGTATTTTCTGTATCTGACTCTCAAAATGTACTGTTTGTAGATTTCATGCTGAGATAAAACAAGCTCTAGAACTATCTCACCATATGTGATTTATAGAATATCCATCCATTCATCTGGCTGATTGGCTGCAAATCTCTAAAAACAATTTTTGTAAATAAACAGATATGTGATGAAGCAAATATAGGAAAACGTTAATGACAGAACCTAGGAGGAGAATATACAGATGTCCACTTTAGCATTTTTCTTCAACTTTTCTGTGCGAAAATTCTCAAAAGATACCCAGGTGAAAATAATCTTTCGAAATCACAACACGAAGACAGATCTATAGCGACTGTAACCTACCTATGGCTGTGAGGCCTTTCATCAAATCACAAACCCAACATTTTTAGCACCCCCCAAAAAAGTCCTTCCATAAGATGGCAAGATTTTTCTGGAGACTAGTGAACCGATAAAATATAAAAGTGATACTAAAAATAATCTCTTACCCAAAGGAAGGCTACCTAGGAAGTCATTTTCCAGGAGGTGACATGAGATTTTTGTTGGACTTTTATCAGATGTAAAACAACTTTTGCCTCCATTACCATTTCACCGAAATTTTTCAAAATTCCAAACAGTACACTTTAAGTTTTGGCTTTTTTTTTTTTTTTTTTTTTAATCTCCCAAAAAGCAGATCCGTGGAGCCCTCCCAGGTCCTAAAACCTGCGAAACCCAGAGTTCGGGGCGCTGGTGGTTCCGGGTGTTTCACTCTAACGGGCAGTCTCCAGGTGGGATTGTACCCTGGGGTCTACACGGGTTAAACAGGCGGAAAAAGGAAGACATACAGACCGCCAGGGAGTCAAAATCAAAGGAGTGACTGTGTAAGGAGGAAGGGAAAATCCAAGCAATCGGTGCGGGGAGGATCTGGAAGCACCGGGCCAGCTGGGCGCTCAGCTCAGGAACTCGGAGGGCAGACGCGCAGAGCCGGAGGCCGGGCTCCCGCCTGCGCCCGGGTCCCGCGCCGGCCGCCAAACTCCGGCCGCCCCCGCCCTGCCCGCCGCGCCCGCACCTCTCGGTCCTTGAGGCCCAGCAGGAGCACCTCCTCCATCAGGGTCAGCCTCGTTTCCTTGGAGTCGCCCTTGTCGTCGTCGTCCTGCTCGTCGCGGCGGCTCTGCGCGTCGTCCTCGCTGCTGCCGCCGCCGCCGCCCGCCACCCGCTCCTTGTCCGCGGCGTTGCGGGAGGCCTCGGTGCGCCGCTGCACCAGGCCCGAGCTGCGCTGGGTCAGCGAGGTCATGGCTCCCGCCGAGACGCCGGGCCGAGAGGGACGCGGGACCTACCGGGTCTCCCCCCTCCTCCCCCCGCGGCCCCTGACCCGGGCTTCCGTGTTAAATCCCGGCTCCGGGGCGACGTCTGTCGGCAGCTGGGCCGGGAGCAGTCATGGGGAGACGGGTCGGGGCGAAACGGGCGGGCCGGGCGCCGGCGAGGCGGAAGAAGGGCGCTTCCCTCCTGCGGCCGCGAGCCCGGAGGCAGCCCGAGCTCCTAGGTAGAGAAGGAGGTGGAGGTGGTGGCGGCGGCGGTGGCGGCGGCGGCGGCGGTGGCGGCGGCGGCGACGGCGGCTGCGCCTTCCCAATATGGCGGCGCTGGCTGACGTCACCGGAGATGTGGCACAGCCGGCGCGGGGCGGGGCGGGCCCGGAGGGCGCCGGAAGCCCCGGGCCGGGACCTGGCGGCGGGGGCGAGGGCGGGTATCCGCTGACTGTGACCCCTTCCCGGGCTCCGGGGTATCCGCGGGCGCTCGCCCTCAACTTGGCGTCCCGTGGCCGCCGGGCCCGCGGTCCCCCTCCCGTGGCCCATGACGTGTCCTCCCTTCGTCCGCCTCCCCCTTGGCCCCTCGAAAAAGAGGGCCTGCAGCCAGAGACTGGTGAGGCCCCCCCCCCACGAATGGGGGAGCCGTGGCCTTGCGAGGGTGGACCCGCTCAGCCTCAAGCCATGCCCTTACCACCCCGACACCACCATCCTCGGAGCTGGCCGCGGGCGGGGGAGGGGCGGGGGGGCGGCAGGGACCCGGCTTGGAGTCCGGGGTCCCCAAGAGACACAGGAAGGGCTTTGCTCGCTGCTGAGGGAGCGAGAGTTCGCTCTCTGCCCACGCGCCCTGACCCTTCAGAAGGAATAACTGCATTTAAATGGCCTGAAAGTGGACTTTTAGTGTTTACTACGTGTATTAAAGAGAGGTTAGAACAAATTGAATAGTTTTGTTCATAAAACTTCCCTCGCCTCCGACTTGTGAAGTGACCAGGCGCAGCGAGTACAGTTAGTACTGTACCCGTCAGTACACTTGACCTTAACGATCTTTTTTTTTTTTTTAAGATTTTATTTATTTATTTGACAGAGACACAGCGAGAGAGGGAACACAAGCAGGGGGAGTGGGAGAGGGAGAAGCAGGCTTCCCGCCGAGCGGGGAGCCCGATGCGGGGCTCGATCCCAGGATCTTGGGATCATGACCTGAGCCGAAGGCAGACGCTCAACGACTGAGCCACCCAGGCGCCCCGGAATATGACTTTTTTTTTTTTTTTTAAGATTTTATTTGACAGAGACAGAGAGACACAGCGAGAGAGGGAACACAAGCAGGGGGAGTGGGGGAGGGAGAAGCAGGCTCCCCGCAGAGCAGGGAGCCCGATGCGGGGCTCCATCCAAGGACCCTGGGATCGTGACCTGAGCCGAAGGCAGCCGCCCAACCGACTGAGCCACCCAGGCGCCCCCTTAACGATCTTTTTGTAGAGACAATAAACCCGTTGGGTTTGTCTTTGTACAAATTAAATTTCCCCCAATTTTATTACCAGGTGAAATCCTCTTGGCGTGCTTGACAGTGTGCAAGTTATGATACACCATAGATGTCAAACCTGAGGGGGAGTTTGGAGGGCCAGGAGGGTGGAGCTTATAAACAAAACATCCGGAAATGGTATCGGATGCCATGCGGTGTAACTTAAAATCAACAATGACGACAGGCTGTGGCTACAGCATGATTTAGACAGGAGAAATATATTGTTGTAACAGGACTTGAGCTGTAATAAATGATAAACGCCCACAGTAAAACTATCCCATAGGGCGCCTGGGTGGCTCAGTTGGTTGGGCGACTGCCTTCGGCTCAGGTCATGATCCTGGAGTCCCTGGATCGGGCCCCGCATCGGGCTCCCTGCTCAGCAGGGAGTCTGCTTCTCCCTCTGACCCTCCCCCCTCTCATGTACTCGCTCTCTCATTCTCTCTCTCTCAAATAAATAAATAAAATCTTTAAAAAAAAAAAAACTATCCCATAGAACATTCTCGCTACAGAGTTCTCCCTCCCTCCTCCACAAACCCATTATCCAAAACTACTGGCCGCACACCATCATCACACCCCAAACCCTGGAAAGTGAAAATGCTAAATCCGAGGTGGGGAGGAGAGAGCAAGGGGAGCACAAAGTAGACCCTCCCTTTTTCCCATCTTTCAGGGCAAAGGTCCGTTTCACCTCAACCGATTTCTCCCATTCAACATCCTGTTCAACTTTTTTTTTCTTTTACTCCTCTACCAATTCTTTCCCAAATAGCTTAAAATGTTTCTTTTTAAAAGAAATGTAATTATTTGTTTAGTATAGTCAAATCCATATAGTTCAAGGAATAAAAAATTAATATAGTGAAAATCTTCCTTCCAGCCCTGCCCCTGGTCACCCAGTTTTTCTCCTCTTCTCCTTGCCTGGTGATTTCAAAAATACCCCAACAAATTCTCTGATGTGCCTCTCAGGAGAGGAAGCCTTACTCCCCTTTCCTTGAGTGTGGGCCTGACTGACTCTGACTCTGCAAATGAGGAGACTGTGTGGTGTGACTCCATGTGACTTAGACTAGCTCATAAGTCTGCGGCTTCTTTTCTTGTTCTCCCTCTCCCCACACCTCTCCTCCGTCTCTCTCTATCTCTCAGATCATCCACTCTGAGAGAGGCGGGCTGCCATATCTTAAACACTCAAGCAGTTTTATGGAGAGGTCCACTTGGGGAGGAACTGAGACCCCAGGCACAGAACAATAGGAGTGAGCCATTCTGGGAAGCGGATCTCCCAGCCCCAGTCAAGGCCTTAGTTCACATTTGATTGCAATTTCATGAAAGACTCTGAGCCAGGCCTAAACTTCTGAGCTACAAAAACTGTGAGATAATAAATATTGGTTGTCCTAAGACACTACGTTTAGTTAGCATCTTATGCAGTTCTGCAGTGATAGGTATTAAAATACCTGGGTGCTTATACGAACAAATAGATGACAACTAATAGTCTTGTTACGAAAATCGGGGGTGTGAAGCTGGGTTGGTCAGTAGAGCATGCAACTCTTGATCTTGGGGTTGTGAGATGGAGCCCCACAGTTGGGTGTAGAGATTACTAAAAATACATAAATAAACTTTAAAAAACAGTATTGTTATGAAAATCAATACAGGGAGGGGTGCCTGGGTGGCTCAGATGGTTAAGCGTCTGCCTGCGGCTCAGGTCATGATCCCAGGGTCCTGGGATTAAGCCCCCTTGTTGGGCTCCCTGCTCGGTGGGGAGCCTGCTTCTCCCTCTCCCTCTGCCATTCCCTCTGCTTGTGCTCTCTGGCTCTATCCCTCTGTCAAATAAATAAAATCTTTAAAAAAAAATGAAGTAAAAAAAAGAAAATCAACACAAGGAAACCTCTCACTAAAGTAGAGGTCAGGAGGCTGGACAGAGGAGGCTACAAGAGTGAGCCTTAACTGCACTACCTACTATTGCATGTCTCTGGTGCTCCCAAATAAACCCATTTTTGCTGGTAAAATAACTGACTTTTACTAATGTTTTCTTGGATTTCCTTCCAGAGATTTTTTTTTTATGTATATTCAAGCAAGTATGAAAACGGTTTCCTTCCTTTTTTATGTAAATAATAGCACATAATACACATTGTTTTGTATCTTGATTTTTTTCACTTAATGTTGGAAAACATTCTATATCAATACTTAACAGCTTCTTCATACTTTGTTTTGGCTGCAGTGTATTCTATTGTAATTACTTTTTTCTTTAGTCAACCCCCTATAGATGGACATTTAGGTCGTTTCCAATTCCTTGCTATTACAAACAATGCCATAATAGATATAATGAATAGCCACATGTATTTTGTCCACAAAAATGCATGCTCATGGTCTGTCTATTCATACGCACTCTTGAGATTACTGAGACTTTACATAACTTCATTGTTTGTTTTTTCAGAGGTTTTCTAGCATTTTTTTCCCTTGTTTATTTTCCACAAGCTAGACTTCAAAATCACCTTACTTGGAAAGAAAGAAAAAGAATGAAGGAAGGAAAGAAGAATATGGTATTTTGGGAACCAAAATATACCTTCCAAATAACATTGCCTGTTAATTGACTGCTGAGTATATGGGCAGGCATGTTCTCCAGTAACCCCACCAGAATCCTGCAGAGAAGGCGCTGTTCCTGCGCCACATAAACCCCAACCTCCTCGTGCAGCAAAGCCTGTCAGCACACTTATGCCCAAGCAGAGGGACCTAGAAGTACAAGGGAGTTAGCACTTAAAGCGGGTAAAGTTCCCCTTTCTCTCCTCAAATGGGTCACTGAGATCCTTTCTACAATTTCTCTGCAGTACTTTGCTGCAGCAAGTTCAACAACACATTCCTGCTATGTCTCTCTGCCCTTCACTCCACCCTTCCCCTCTTCCTCGCTTCTGTTCTTGGGAGTCGCACTCTCTAACAAAATAGTGGCACAAAAGCCTTTGTCTTAGGCTCTGCTTTCTCAGAATCCCAGATTACAACACCCGTTTACTTGTGAAGAAACTGCAGTTCAGAGAGATTAAGTAATCTGTCCAACACACCACATCTGGTAAATTGCAAGCCTGCATTAATGAAAAACATATTTGCATTAGAACCCCGGTCCTTACTTCAATCATTAAATATTTGTATGTATATATATTTGCTGTATGCCAGGCACTGTGCTAAGCAATGAGAACGTTATAAAAAACCAAAAGAGACACCACTCAGTTTTCATGAGGCTGTTTAGTGGAGGGCACAGATATTAAGCAAATCATCACACATTAATGATAAATTGAGAACTGCTTTGAATATATTTGAATACAGAAGGAATATAGTATTATGAGAGCATATATTCTCAAATATATGAGAAACTTATATTTTATCTGAGACTCAAGGAAAGCAACTCTGCAGAAGTAGTAAGCCAAAGAATGAACAGAAATTAACTAAACCAAACCTCTCATTCCTGAGAAAAAATTGCATGTGGAAAGGCCCTCTGGCAAGGAGAGATCATGGGATGATGGAGAATGAAATAGAAAACCATTTTGGCTAGCCTAAGGGGGAGAGTGTTGTCAAAAGCAAGAGTGACAGACGAGGATCAAATCATGCAGTGCCATAAGGCCATTTAAAGATTTTGATCTTTTTCCAACCAAACACAATGAGAAGCCATCAAAGATGCTTTTAAATGCCTCCCTTGTGGGACGTCTGGGTGGCTCAATCGGTTAAGTGACTGACTCTTGATTTCAGCTCAGGTCATGATCTCAGGGAGTCTCTCTCTCTCTCTCCCTCTGCCCCTCCCCACTTACTCTCCCCCCAAATAAACAAATAAATAAATGCCTCCCTTGTAGGGGAAAGAATGGAATGGGTGGGTATGT